AACGCAGACCCTCTCTCCCCCAGCCAATGCACAGGAGATCAACAGCCAGCTGGAGCTACTGGTCTCCCAACTCCTCTCTCTCCAAACCTCGTATCCTTAATATTCTGGCACCTAAATACCGATTCATTTTCTCAATACGCTCCACTAGAACTTGAAGTAAAGTGTGAGACGAACTACACGAGATGATGTTAAGAACTGAAATTTTTGTATCATTATTTATTTATGCTTTCATTATTTATTTATAATTTGTATTTATTTATTTTCTGTTTTTTAAAGCCATTTCCCTTACAATGTCCACAACAATTTGCTTAAAGTGTGAGATTAACTACATGATACTGTTGACTACATGATGACTAACTTAAGATGCTGTTAAGGTCATCTGTTTTATTTTTACGTATATATTATTATTTATAGTTATTTCCTTTTTTAAGCTATGAAGCTAGTTGTTTTTCTTAATTTACAACGCCAATTTTGAGACAAACTACAGCAAATGCTATTATTTATTTATTGTTTATTGTTATTTTCAGGGTTGTTGTGTTTTGTTTTTTTTTTAATGGGAGGCAGGTCATTTTCCTTAACAGGTGTTGAAGTGATGACCTTATATCAGAGAAGAAGGAAATACCATCTCATCCTGGACAGTCCCAGACTCCTCCACTCTCATTGCCCATTCAGATCATGCTGCTTCCCCTCAGTAAGAGGTTCAGGTATCACTTCACTGGAAACCGCCAGACCAACAATTTAAGCAAGGTCAGAGATTACACATTTACTGTCATTCAGACTAAAATAAGTCTCCTTCTCCATTTTGTAAAACAAACAAACATAAATAGTTATGTGAATATACAAGCTACTGATAAGTAAACATAAGTACAACAATAAGATCTGAAATCTCTGTCACCTTTACAGCCAGAGTGGTATTTGACTCAAGTCCTCATTTGGATGGGAAACAGCTCCAGCTTTATGGACGAGAAGATTCAGCCTATATTGGATCGTGCGGGGAAGAAAGTTAACGCCAGGGTATGTTCAGAATTGCATTGGTTAATGTTGGCATGAAATGAACATTTCCCAAATGCATGTGATTGATCTTAATGTTTCATTCTAAAAAATAAATCTTCCTGTGAAACGTCAGACTTCTCTCTGGTGATGTTTGCCAAAATTTGTCAAAATGGAATTTCAATCATTTCTCTTCCAATCGTTTCACTAGACGTTCATCACATAACAGAAGAAAAGATCTGCCGCTTCTTTCGCTTTAACACGATGCTGACAAAGCCATCTCCAGGCTTTAAAGTCTTCTCTATCTATCCTCCAGGTGGAGTTGTGCCGAGGACTCCTGACTCTGGCGCAGGAGAAGTTAGCCCAAGATGCTCCTCGATTGCTCTATGACGATGCTCTCTTCTGCCACCTAGTGGATGAGGTGCTGCAGTTCGAAAAAGAGCTCCGCAGCACCCACAGTTACCCGCGTGTCTACCCTGGCGTTTTGCACATACTACTTGAGGAGACTGTGTTTCAGAAGTGGCTCAGTGTGGAGAGAAAAAGTGAGTCTAAATGCTGCATACTCGACTCTATTTCAGTTTTGATGCTAAATAAAATTGTGTACGTTGCCCTCTAGTGGCTGTGGAAAAAGTGGACGCCATGCTGTCTGCAGAGGGGGCCTGGAGCTCTCAGTACAAGGACATCACCGATGTGGACGAGCTCAAAGCACCAGATTGTGCAGAGACCTTCATGACCCTTCTGCTGGTCATCACAGGTGTTGATAAAAATTCATCCTCAGATTTGATTCTTATAGTTACAACTTGTTTCTGAACCTCTCCGCCATCCTTTTCTCAGAACGGTACCGCTCTCTGCCATGTCCGCGGGCTCAGCTCAGTTTCCTGGCTTTACAGAAGGAGCTGGTGGATGATTTCCGTATCCGTCTCACACAGGTCATGAAAGAAGAGTCCCGACAGCCCCTGAGCCCCCGCTACTGCGCCATCCTCAACGCTGCCAACTACATCTCCACTGTTCTCAGTGACTGGGGGGACAATATTGTAAGTGTTTTTGAGTCACACCGAGGCTAACAGGTGTTCACTCTGTATGAGTGTGCTGATGCCCATTGTTTTTTGTAGTAGTCGTGTAGTAGTGCCCTCTTTTATGATCATTTCTTAGTTCTTAAAAAAACCACTTTACAAAACTCCTCCACCAAATCAAAGTTTTGTGGTGCAACCAAGAGGCAGAAAAAAAATCTAATACAATGAAATCATAGAGATGGACACCTGTGGACCCTCATGACTATGACTCCAGGTCAATAAGCCTCTTAAAGTGATAGTTCACTTTGAAATGAATTTTTGGTATGTTTTAGCTTACCTCAAGGGCATCCAAGATGTAGGTGTCTTTGTTTCCACAGTATTTTCAATTTTGATATTGTTGTCTGCCAGTCATATAATGCAGGTTTAGGGGGTCCACCCTTGGTCCATCTCGAAGAGCATGCACAGAGAAGTCCAAATTAAACATGATTTAATGACTCGTAAATGTAAGTACACATTGATGGCCTAAGACACGAAACGAGCGGTTTGTGTGAGAAAACGAATAGTATTTATATCGTTTTTACCTCTTGTAACCACAGCCACGTCCAACTGATCTGAAGGCACTGGCGCTTGGGTCTGCGCATGCGCCGGAAGTGAATGCTTGCACGTTTACGTCACTCATTGTTTACACAGAGATTTCGGAACTTTTACCTTTCACTGTGAAGATCTAAACATATTTTGATATATCGAAATCGTCTTCCATTGCGATTTCCTGTATATCTAAATATGTTTAGATCTTCACAGTTCAGTTGGACATGGCTATCAAAGGAACTGTCCCTTTAAAATATCTGATATTTTGGCCTTATTAATGACAAGGAAAAGTTAGTTCAGGTTGTAAAATGTCATGTGAACTTCTCAAAAAGGTAATATTTATTTATAGAATGTAATAAATCATTATATTAAAATATAAAAATAACTTATAATGACTAGGATGTGTACACTCGCATGTATTCAAGGTGAGAGGAAAATGTATTATTACTTTTTACGTCATTGTTGGACCACATGACAATTTTAGAGTAATTATATTTAATCTTTCCTTAAAAATGGTAAAAAAAAAAAAAGATTTTAAAATCCATATGAAACCAACATGAATACAAAGAGTACATTTACTTATTTTTGTAGTGGATGCTACTAATTAATATAAACTAGGAACAGAAATACAGAAAATCGGTATGTGTATAGATTCACTTTCATTGTGTTTTCTCTCAGTTCTTCTTGCAGTTGCAGCAGGCGGCGGTGTCAGTGGGAGAGGAGATCCTAGGCCCTCTAGGGGTCACGGAGACGGGCCGACTGGCCTCTCTGGAGGGATCTTTGTTTGAGGCTCTTTTGGCTCTGCTGGAGAGGCTACGAGGAGACATGCTGGGACGATTATTGGATGCAGTCATGAGAGAGATCAAGGAGAAGGCACAGCCATACTGCAAGGACAGGTATGGGTGGAAATAACCTAAAACATTTATATAATTTCTCGTGAGAATGCTTTTTGTCAGTGTAGTTTAATTTTAAGCCTCAAGAGCCTTTACCTTGCTCTGACTAAAATTGCTCTGTTTCAGGTGGATCTCCTTGCCATCACAAAGTGACCAAGCCACTATGTCGTTATCCAGCTCTGCATGTCCCATGATGCTTTGCCTGCGGGATCACCTGCTCCAGCTGCAGCAGATGTTGTGTCTTCCTCTTTTTCAGATGTTCTGGCAGGGCCTCACAGAGAGGCTCGACTGCTTCATCTACGAAGAAGTCAGTCTCTTGCTTCAACATTTTCACTGTTAAACCGTAATTTACCACAAGCGAATGTTGACACAACTATTCAAAAGTTTGGGATCTGTAAGCTTTTTGAAGTTTCTTATACTCAAAAAGGCGCCATTTATTTGATCAAAATAAAGTTAAACAGTAATATTATTCCAATTTAAAATATTACAAATTTATATTGCAAGATATTTTAAAATTGAATTTATTCCTGTGATGCAAAGCTGAATTTTCAGCATTATTATTCCAGACTTTTTATCAGTATTAAAAACAGTCGTGCTTTTTTATATTTTTATGGAAAGCGTGATACTTTTTTTTTTTAATAAATTGTCTTTGATAAATGTAATGCATCCTTTCCAAAAAGAAAAAAAGTACCTGTTTGTTTCCAAAAAATAAAAAATCTTACTGACCCCGAACGTTTAAACAATTGTGTAAAAAATGTAGAATGCTTAGAGACGTTCATTTCATATAATAACTTTACGATTGGAGTACGTGTACATGAAATCTGTGTACAGTAAATTGATGGAGTGTGTTTATCTGTTTTTTGCTCTTACTCACAGTTGATCCTGTATAACCATTTCAATGAAGGTGGAGCTGCACAGCTTCAATACGATATGAGCAGAAACCTCTTCCCTCTGTTTGGACACTACTGCAAGAGACCTGAAAACTTCTTTAAACAGTACGTCTGTTATTCAGAGTTAATACTGTATATAGAAAAAACCCATTTTCATTTCTCTTTCCTTGTCTCAGTGTGAAGGAGGCCTGCATCATCCTGACTCTTAAGGTTGGTCCGGCATTGTTGTTGTGTGATGTACTGAAGCAGTCAGAGGAAGATGATGGCCTTCTGAACCATCAGCAGTCCAGTCCAGAGTCAGCGCTCAATGAGCTGGGAGTCTACAAGCTGGCTCCCAGTGACGTGCAGATCCTTCTAAACCTCCGTTCAGCCTGGCTGAACCAATGATAATACACCAATTCCTTACTTAGGATGCTTTACCAAGCACTAAAACAACTCTCATACTCCTTATATGAATGACTAAATCTCCTACATCGGATGAGCTACAGTATTTAAAGTAAACTGAACTTCAGTATGGAAATATGAAAAGTATGCGGATGCTGATGTAAAAACAAAAAATAATAAAGTATAAAAAGGAAAAAAAAAAAACCTTTTGCTGACATTATGAATAAATTAATACATGTTTTAGTGCTTTCCTCTTTATTTGGTGTTAAAACATTAAAATATTTTTATAGCATATTAAATGTGTAGGCTATTTTGTTTTATCTTATGAATCCAGGGCATATCAAGGCTCCAGGTTTTAACTCAGAAGAGAGAGGAGCCACGTGATGAGGGCTGTATCTTGCAGCATGCCGCCTGTTGCAGGATTAAAGCAGCGTTCCAGGTTCTGGAGAGTCTGCTTGCTTGGGTCAAAGGGCATCTGCATTGGTAGAATCAAACATTAGAGACAGAACCACGCACACACACATACTGCATATGTATGTGTGTGACATTAACTTTTTGCTCATTTGCCACTGTTCAAAGTTACTCAGCATTATCACTGGCCACAATTTTGAAATCGATACCATGGGGAAAAACTGCCAAAAAGATATTTTTAATATTATCTCATTATTTGACAGCAGGTATATTAGGTTGTTGTCACTTTAAGACATGACACACGGATCCATTATACTATATATGATATACTCTAACCTAAAGGATTATTAGGAACTGCCCAGAACTGCCTTAATTCTATGTGGCATTGATTCAACAAGGTGCTGATATTATTCTTTAGAAATGTTGGTAGGATAGGATTGATAGGATAGCATCTTGCAGTTGATGGAGATTTGTTGGATGCACATCCAGGGCACAAAGCTCCCGTTCCACCACATCCCAAAGATGCTCTATTGAGTTGAGATCTAGTGACTGTGGGGGCCATTTTAGTACAGCAACTCATTGTCATGTTCAAAAAACCAGTTTGAAATGCTTTGTCACATGGTGTATTATCCTGCTGGAAGTAGCCATCAGAGGATGGGTACATGGTGGCCATAAAGGGATGGACATGGTCAGAAACAATGCTCAGGTAGGCCGTGGCATTTAAACAATGCTCAATTGGCACTAAGGGGCCTAAAGTGTGCCAAGAAAACACCATTACACCACCACCACCAGCCTGCACAGTGGTAACAAGGCATGATGGATCCATGTTCTCATTCTCTTCACGCCAAATTCTGACTCTACCATCTGAATGTCTCAACAGAAATTGAGACTCATCAGAACAGGCAACATTTTTCCAGTCTTCAACTGTTCAATTTTGTTGAGCTCATGCAAATTGTTGCTTCTTTTTCCTATTTGTAGTGGAGATGAGTGGTACCAGCTGGGGTCTTCTGCTGTTGTGGCCCATCCGCCTCAAGGTTGTGCGTGTTGTGGCTTCACAAATGCTTTGCTGCATACCTCGGTTGTAACGAGTGGTTATTTCAGGCAAAGTTGCTCTTCTGTCAGCTTGAAATTTGAATCAGTCGACATCAACAAGGCATAGGGACTACCGCATACTGGATGTTTTTCCCTTTTCACACCATTCTTTGTAAACCCTACAAATGGTTGTGCGTGAAAATCCCAGTAACTGAGCAGACCGACCTGTCTGGCACCAAAGACCATGCCACGCTCAAAATTACTTAAATCACCTTTCTTTCCCATTCTGATATTCAGTTTGGAGTTCAGGAGATTGTCTTGTCCAGGACCACACGCCTAAATGCATTGAAGCAACTGCCATGGGATTGGTTGATTAGATAATTACATTAATGAGAAATTGAACTGGTGTTCCCAATAATCCTTTAGGAGAGTGTATCAATCATGGCAGGCTAGATCTGCTACGCTAATGCTGCGGCTATAGAGCAAGTATAGACTTGCTCTATCTAGTACTGATGTGATTCTTGGAGATTTCATATATTGGACCTATCATCCTAGCACCCTTAAAAGAACAATACAATTAAATGAAAAAGAAAGTTCAACATTTTCTAATCTTAATCAAATCAAAATTTTAATAAATACTATAATAGTATATAAATAATTTAAAATTACAGTTAAAAATGCCTGTGACACTTTACCTCTGTGATGGGTGCTGAATTGAAATCAGGCTTCAAAAAATTCCTGATCTCAGTGCAAACATGTTTGGTCTTTTCAAAAAGCATTTCCTATAAGAGACAATTGCAAGAGAATGAAAAAAGAGGATAATAGTGTATTCAACATTCTGAAGGTACATCACGGCAATTTAGGGCTCAGAAAGACCTGTTGGTGTGGGGTGGAGGTAGCCATTCTGTTCTGCACTTCTGGGCTGAAGGAGGGTGAAACATGCCCATCAACCTCATCACACGTTGAGCTCAGTAAAGCATGAACAGCCATCAGCCTGCCAGTACATTAAGCCATAAGAGAAAACTGAGTTATATTAACTACCACTTAAATGAAATAAACAGAAACGGAAAGGTCGGACAATAATGCACTTCACATTGCATCAAATATGAAAATGTTTTTCTTTATTATGTTTTTCTTTGCATAGATAGATGAACATAAAGTCTACCTGTCCAAACTGATTGTTCTCTGTCCAGCCTGTAGTACAGCCATTGTGTCTGCAGTAGAGTTTATTGCTGATATAGGAGCTTTGTTCACAGTAAACAGAAGCAGAATCTGAAGAGATCAAACACAAATCTGCTGCTTAGGATCTAGAAATACATCATATGAACAGACTATAAAGCTCATTTGGTCCCAACAATTTCCATTTCCATGTTTTTAACTAATGTTTTTTGACGGAGAGAACCAATTAATCTACATACAAGGATTGCGCCTGTAGATCAAAAGAATACTCTAAATGGGAGAAGAAGAAAAAACAGCTTAAATAATTTTTGAAAACACAATGACAAACAGAAATGGTCCAGTATCTGACTACCATGTTGTCCTCGGAGGAGGGTCTGTACCACTGGATGATCAGTTCCTGGATGTCCGTGTTGGCCCAGGGGAACAGATCTGACAAGGGCTGATCATGCTGGCACAGAGTAATAGAGAAACAATGGTTTTATTTTTTTTCTCTCATCATTTTAAGACATCATTCATGTGTGAATATGAACCTGTATTCGCTGAGGCGTCAGTATTAGAGCTGCAGGGGGATCAGGAATGGCCCACTGCCCTCTGTAAGATGGCTGGTGACAGCTGAAGAAGGTGTGCAAATATGAAAGTCTGAGAGCAAGTTTGGGGTCACCGGACGTGGACAGCAATCCATCAACACCCTGCATTGCACCTGAATAGCACAGCCAATTACACCATCATGTAAAACCGGATTACATAAAAAAAACATATACAGTACAAATGCAAATTTATTATAATGAGTTGAATAACCTAGTTTAAAAGAGATACTTGTTCTGTACCTGGTTGTGAGGAGACCTGTAGAAGGTTGATTAAGTGCATGTAGTAGCGGGACATATGAACCCAGGTCAGCTGAGGGCACTTCCTGCTGTGTATCTCGCTCTCAGTGTCTATGAATGCTTCAGGTCTGGGGAGACAATTCTCAGGGTTTTCTAGCCCCCCTGCCAATGAAATCAGCAAGAAATTAATACTTTTATACAGCAAGGATGCATTACATTTATTAAAAGTGTCAGTTTATAATGTTACATAAGATGTATAATTCCAATAAATGCTGTTCTTTTGAACTTTTTATTAATCAAAGAAAAAATTTCCACAAAAAAAAATGGCATTTTCAACTTAATAATAATCAGAAATGTTTTCTAAGCAGCAAATCAGCATATTAGAATAATCATGTGACACTGAAGACTGGAGAAATGATGCTGAATACAATATTTGTTATATAAAATTGTAATAATATTTCACAAAATCTAAATTTGTCTGTATTTTAATCAAATAAATGCAGTCTTGGTGAATATAAGAGACTTCTTTCAAAAACATTAGAACATTTTACCAAACTTTTGAACTGCAGTTTACATCATAAAAATCATAAAATCGTAATCATAAAAATAATGCAATACAGCACTCCAAATTCCAATGTCTAATGCAAAACTGTGATTTTGGGGTTAAAGGTTACCACAAGGGTGGAAAAGATCATTCAATGCAAAGTCAGGCCAGGGCTTGTATTGAAGAAAGGGGTACGGGGCCTTCAGTTACTCCAGTGAATCCATGCAAATGGCCATTTTTGGCAAAAACTTCTGAAGTCTATGAAGCAAAAGAATAAAAGAAGAATTGAATAATTGGTCTAATTTGTTAACATTAGTTAATGTATTATCTGACATGAACTAACAATGGGCAAAACATTTATTACAGTATTTATTAATCTGTAAATGTTGAAATTAACATTAACTAAGATGAATAAATGATGTAGAAGTATTACTCATTGTTAGTTATTGATATCTAAAGTAGTTAATTATTGTTAACTAATGAAACCTATTTGTAAAAAGTTACAGAATCATTTGCATTGAACACACTCCTTACAGATGTGTGGATGATGTCAATACCGACCTTTAAAGCTATTCTCAAACAAATCCAGCAGAGCAATAAGTAGGTCTCTCTGACTGTTTCCTGAGAAAATCACAAACACATGTGTACATACATATTACAATATGAAACATTTATATACATAACTCGGCTGTTATACACAAACACATTTCACAACACCTTGCTGGTCTCGTCAGGTGTTGGTGATGGGGGAGGAGTCAGATGTCCAGAGGGAGGGGGAATCTGCACAAACTCTTGCAAGTGTATCAATGCCATTTCCAGGTAGCACCTGTGTGCCAATCTGAAAAACACACATACAAAAAAAAAGTGAGTCATGTCTATATACTGTCATATCATGATAAAAGGCAAAACCACCATAAAATGAATATTCTGGATAAGAATATCCACACAAAGGATATAATCAGCATTTTTTAAGCCACTACATCAACATCGCCCATCAAATTCTTTCCCCGCTTGTTTCTTACACAGTGAGTTTTAAGATTTACAAAATTGTTGCTCCACTAACAAATCAACAATTATCAGCAGTCAGTTCTCCAATCCGCACACACAGGAACCTAGACCAACCACTCCCACAGCCAGTAACCTTCTCTCCGCTAACCGAGGAAGAAGTGTCTAAACACTGACAGCTGGATTGTTTTCTGTCTGATTCTGTTTCCCCATGTTTCTCCCACAATTGGTTTGTAGTATTTAACAAATTGGTTCTGGATAAGCTTCATGCACACACAGGATAGAATCAGCATCTGTTAAGTAATTACATGAACATCTCTCATCATATCAGGCACCTTAATCAGCTTTTTGAACAAATCAACTGAATCAGCGATTCAATGACTCACTCATTAAGACAGTAAAATGCTTCCTTCCTGACTGAATCAGCCGTTTTTAATGAATCAGTTGAATCTCAATGACTCCCTCATTAATAGGGACTTGCTGCCACCTCCTGGCGGGTTTAATTTCACATTTAAAGTATCTTTCCATTGTTTAAATAATTTCAAATAACAGTATTTAACCTTTAATATTTTCAATATTTCAAAACATTATTTATGCATCGTTAACTGCTCTTCACTGATTAACTTTAATAAAGGTGGATCTATAGTTATATTTATACATTAAATTACAATGTCTGTCCCTGAAAATCTCCTGTTTAAACCTACATTAAAAACCTAAAAAGCACTTTTTATTTCATCTATATGTTTGTTTTGTTGTATTTATTTGTGCTATTACTTGTGATTTGATTATTGGTTCCTATTTTATTAGAATCGGCATCTTTCAAGCCACTACATCAACATCACTCATCTTAGGTGTGGGGGAACGGACTCTGACAGCTGGATTGTTTGCTGTCGGATTTTGTTCCCTCCATGTTTCTTACACAAGGAGGTTCTAATATTTATCAAACTGGTTCTGGATAAGCTCCATGCACACACAAGATAGAGTCAGCATCTTTTAAGTCACTTCATGAGCATCTCTCAACATTTGGGTGGGGGAACGAATTTTGACAGATGTATTATTTGCCGTTGAATTCTGTTTCTTAAACAAAGAGGTTCTAAGATTTACAAAACTGATGCTGGCTATTTGGACCCTATAGCCACGTGGGCAACATGCTTACATATCATGCAGTTGCACTTTGGGAGACCCAAGTTCAAGTCTTGGCTCGTGGACTTTTCTTTATTGTTTCCTCCTTCTCTCTCACACACTTCACTCCCTCAGAACATATCGTTTTATAATAAAAAGTGAAAACACCAAATTTTATCTTATCATGGTGGTGGGGGAACGAATTCTGACAGCTGGATTGTTTGTTGTCTGATTCTGTTCCCCATGTTTTTCACACAATTGGTTAGTAATATTTAACAAATTGGTTCTGGATAAGCTTCATGCACACACAGGATAGAATCAGCATCTTTTAAGTCACTACTGTACATGAGCATGTCTCATCATTTGGGTGGGGGAATGAATTCCGACAGCTGGATTATTTGCTGTTGAATTCTGTTCCCTCCTTGTTTCTTACATAATGAGGTTCTAAGATTTACAAAACTCATACTGGATAAGATCTATGCACACACAAGATAGAATCAGCACTAACATATTGTGCAACTCGAGTTTGAGTTCCAGCTCATGGACTTTTCCACTTTCTCTCTCCTAATTCACATAATGTCATACATACATTCTGTTCCCCACACGTTTCTTACACAATGAGGTTCTAATTGGCTTTATGCACAGCTGCACTACTTCCTGAACTTAAGCCAGCTCCTTGTTTCCTGTCTGCCATTAATGGAAAAATTGATAAATTCAGGTGTGACTGACCTCAGTAGTCATGGCAACAATAATCAGACACGCCTGAATTAATCAAGTTTGGCCAATAATGGCAGACAGGAAACAAGGTGCTGGCTTAAGTTCAGGAAGTAGTGCAGCTGTGCATAAAGGCAATTAGGGCTACTGCTATCAGGTATATATTCCATCGATTAATCAAGTAATCGGATAAAAAAATAGTGGTAATAAAAAAGTGAACAACAGCCTTTAAAATTACTTCAAATACAAATATATAATAACAAGCAATAATAATTGGTTAAAATACTGTAAAGTATCAAAGTAATCAAATTGGTTTTATTGAACAACACTGTACAATTAATTTCTTGAACAAGAACAAAACATGCTAACTTTAGGGTTTAAACCTTTATTTTGAAATCGTCATATTTAGAAGTGTCTTCTGTTTTGGTGTAGATTTACAAATAAGCTACGTAACAAATCTCGTGAAATGGCACACACTGCTTTCCCAAATGAACGTTATAAGCAACCCAAACTCAAAGCATGCAGAGATGGGGTTTGAGAAACCAGAGATGCGCTCCACGCGTACAAATGATAACTATGAAACGCAAACCGCGTCCGACTTTTGCATTCCCAAATGAAACCTAAACAAACAGCTCATGCAGAGACTGATGCCTTGTCAAAATACCCACACTTGCGGTCTTTGCACTTGGCCACTTTTCTGCTTGCATGACGCAAGTGTTCAAGTAGGTGTAAAGACTTTTGATTACTCAAAGAGACACACTTACAGCAGAGCTTTTATTTATTATATTTTCAATACTTTGCATTTTAAACTTTTACATGTCTGTTCAGTAGCTGCTATGTAACTAACAGAATACACAAATTTAAAATTGTGGTGCTTCTAATTAAGTGATAAAAACAGTTGCAAATGTTGTACAAAATAGGCCTGCACATACACTACTCATCTAGTTTGCACCAATAAAATGTGCAACACTAATTATATGTATCTAATTAATTTAAATTACACTGGAATATTTTCCTCGACATCTCGCAATTTCAGGGTACACGAGTTCCCGAACATAATGCATGATGGGATACACTTAGCATGGGTTTAGTGTGCATTAAGGGCACTGCACTTTGGCATTTTTAAGCCATGGGACAGCCTTGCACACTTACTTCCTGTCAGGTGCACACACTCAAAAAATGGCCAAGACCGCAAGTGTAGGTATTTGGACAAGGCATGAGTTTACGGTGAACGAAGCTGAAGTCATTTTAACCTGTTATCTGCACGCATGTAAATAATTAAAGCATTGTGCTTCTCTGTGGAAAAAAAAAAAAACAGTACATACATTTATCTAACTGAATCGCAACCTTTGTGATTTCACAATAGCATTATCCTATATGATGTTTTAATATTATATTTAATATTATATATTATGTATTACTATTGTGGTGAAGAAGGAGCGGAGCCGTAAGGCAAAGCTCTTGATTTACCGGTCAATCTACGTTCCTACTCTCACCTTTGGTCATGAGCTTTGGGTCATGACCGAAAGGACAAGATCCCGGATACAGGTGGCCGAAATGGGCTTTCGGCGAAGAGGCGGCTGGGCGATCCCTTAGAGAAGCTCGGTCACTCGGGAGGAGCTCAGAGTAGAGCCGCTGCTCCTCCATATCGAGAGGGGTCAGCTGAGGTGGCTCGGGCATCTGTTTCGGATGCCTCCTGGACGCCTCCCTGGGACCTAGGACATGCTAGAGAGACTCGGCTGGCCTGGGAACGCCTCGGCCTCCCCCCGGAAGAGCTAGAGAGGGAAGTCTGGGCATCTCTGCTTAGACTGCTGCCCCCGCGACCCGGCCCCGGATAAGCGGAAGAAGATGGATGGATGGACATATTATGTTTTAAATGGTTTTAAATAATTTGCATAGCCTTAGAAAACGATTTAATAATGTGTATCATGGATTCTTGTCCGTGGAATGGGCCAACACGGGTAAACTGCAATCAAGGATTTTTTTTATTTATTGAGTAATCGACTTTAATCAAGGAATCGTGACAGCCCTAGTTCTAATATTTACAAAACTAGTTAGTTGGTGCTGATAGCCTCATGGGCAGTGTGTTGACATATAGTGTTTTTGCGCTTCAGGGGGCCACGAGTTCCTCTCCCACTTTGCCATCTGTTTATATACAATTATAGGAGAATATTAAGGTGCACAAGCCCTTCAAAGAGCCACGAGAGCAGATATACACACTTGGGGCGTGCATCTAGTGGATTTTGTTTTCAAACGCTCAAGTCACTTACATTTGTGCTGTTGTACGTGCACCATCTGCGCTAACACAAAAATTGAAATGCACACGGACAGTGTAAGGGCTGTTGCGGAATGCAGATGGCCGAAGTATACTTTGGGCTTTAGTTAAGCAACTTACCGTAAACTTTGCCCATGAGTGTGCTTGAATGTGGTTAAACACCCAAACAAGGCCTCTAGGACTTCCTGAGGACCCGCTTTCTGCATGGAAATGAGATGTCTACCCACCAATCCTGCAGACACAAATGATCAAACATCCACAACTGGTTCACAAGATAAGAGGCCAATATAAAAACACTCCCTATTGATCACCTGTACAGTAGAGGATATCAGCCTCCAACTGGCAGTCTCTGTTGGCAGATGACTGAGAGATGCTGAGTGCAGACTGCAAAACGTCTTTAGCAACTATTAAGGGCCTCCATGGCTCCTCAACTCCCTCAGAAGAACATGACAAGGCCTGCAATGCCAGAGAGCGACCTGGAACAGAAAGAATCAATACACATTTTGAGCCTTCAAAATTGCAGTACAAACTAAGTTTGCATTTTTAGAAGGAAATACCCATGCATAGCAAAATCATTTTAAAGTTTAAGCAAAATTATATAAGAAAGAAGACCAATCATTATTTAGTACATATTTTCAAATCAATAGGACAATTCTGTGCATTTATCTAAAACAAAACCAAAATAAAGCAAGAAACAAAAAACAACACCAACACATACGTAAGGTTATTTCAAAAAAAGTTTTTATACATTAAGCAGTTCTGTCTGAATTAATTGCAGGTTAAGAACAAACACCTAACCATAATGTTAGAGAAATATCAATACAGAGCTGCCTTATTGTAGTTGTCATACCAATTCGCATGGTTGTTTTGGCAAGTAGGGGAAGCTGTGGAAGATAAATATTCTTTAGGCCCGCTCGTAGTTCCACCTTGCCTTCTTCTTTGAGACCTATAGACTCTCCAGTGGCACAGAGCTGAAAACAAAGAATTATAATATGTAAAACACATTCATTTCATATTTTGGTTCTTGTATGCTCATTATGACCATGTGATCTGGGAGCTGTACATCTTTACCAGATCTACTGTCCGAAAATGGGAATTTTACATACATTTTTTTTCTCTTGTGACAAGTTTTAACAAAAAGTTTGAGCAAAAAAGTGTAACAAAACCTGTTTCTGCAGTAGTTTCTGTGTGAGCAGGTAGAGACTCTGGCTTCCTGTTCCTCTCAGTTCACTAAGTAACAATGCAGCCTCAGCTAGAGTCATTTGAGAGCGCAGAGATAGAGCACTACGCCCAGACAACAAGCTCACAATTTCCTAAACAGGCACACACGTGATCGGCCAACAGAAACAGTCAAGTTCAGGTCAAATAGCACTAAATCACAATCAACTGTCATAGCTAGCTACTGACCTGTAGCATGGCTGTACTGTCTTCTCTGGCTCTGCCACAGTGTGTGTTGAGTTGGACGCCTTGTAGGAGCAGGAGTGCTTTAGTGTCAGGATCTCCCCAGGCCTCTGCCTCAGCCAGACCCTCTTTCAGCAGCTGGAGCGCCTCTACACTACTGTCTCTACCTGCACAAACATGTGCAAGAATCATCAACAAGCTCCATCCAACGATATTTCCACCACATTAAGCTTTTCAGCGCAGCTAACCAGAGTAGATTGCAGTTCCAGGGATATGGCCTACGAGGGAACGAACCACTGCCAGCCTACAGCGCAGCCAGAAAAGGCGATCCATGCGCTCTCTCGCTTCTAACTTTTCTGGAAGATCTCCAGTATGGAGATCGAGAACAGACGCTGCATCCCGGGAGCTAGTCTGTAGAGAAAAGACAGATTTTCTTTAAAACTTAAGATGAATTGATGATGAATTGTCCATGCAAGCAGACAAGTGGTCAGTTTCATGACAATGAAACTGAATCTGTCCTTTAGAATATGAGAGACTCAAGATCTGAATTAAGTGTTGAATTTATGTAAGTAAATCAGATCATTACCTGATGTGCTTTGGCTCTGGGTCGTCTGAGAGCAGAGGAGGTTGGTTTAGGAGGAGGTATCGGGCGGAAATCACTTTGAAACACAAGAGAACTCTGGAGGAGCCTCAAAGTAGACGCCGACAGATCTGCACTACAATAGACATTTAAAATGTTTAGATTTTTAGTAGATTCAAACATAGATGAATCCTCAGGAACATACACTACCGTTAAAAAAGTTTGGGGTTGGTTAGGTTTTTTAATGTTTATGAAAGAAGTCTCTAATGCTCACTAAGGCTGCATTTATTTACTCAAAAATATAGTCATATTGTGAAATATTACAATTTAAAATAACTGTGTTCTATTGTACTATTTTCAGCATAATAACTCCAGTCTTCAGTGTCAGATGATCCTTCAGAAATCATTATAAAAAGCTGATTTTGAGCTTCTTATTATTATCCCTGGGCTGCTAAAACATGATACATTTTTGTCAGGATTCTTTAGGGAATAAAGAACAGCATTTATTTGAAATATATTTAATATATCAAAATATATAAATATATTTTGAAACATTATACATGTATTTTTTGTCATTTGCTAATTAAATCAATTTCTTCAAAAAATTTTTTATAACAGTAGTGTATACACCCACACAACTACAAACGTGCACTCTTTCTCATGATTTATGTTTCTGCTCTACCTGGCAGCCATTCTGCCCTGCTGCATGTTGATATTGGACAATAACAGTCTGATCTCCACTGCCAGCTCCAATTCTTCAGGATCAATGCTCAGCGGTTGTGGGGTGAAGAGTTCAGGACTAACCAGAGCATGTGCTTCTTTTAGGAGTATGGCCTGAACAATGCAATAGAGAGACATTATGTTAACTTTGTCCTTAATGTTCTTGCATTTGGTTGGTGTATATTTGTGTTTATAACATCATACTTCATAGCCATAATTCCTATAGGGTCAAATAATGTTAAAAACTTTTTATAAGCCTAGATCTGGAAGAACAATCTAACAGAAAGGAGAGTTGGACAGCTTTAACATCATAAAATGAAGGTAAAAACAGAGCACCTTGACTTCTCCTAATGTGAGTTTCCTGGCACTGAGCTGGAGACGCTTGGACTCGTCACTGCTGGAGGCATCATCCAAACTTTTCTCTTGAGATTTGTATATCTCTGTAAGTTAAAATATATGATTCAGTAAGGGTTTATTTATAATCTGTAATTGTCCATAACAAACAAGTTATGAGATGATACCTGGTGGTGGTGGCTCAGGCAGGTCTTGTATAGTACTACATATAGCCAAGATGAGATGAACTCTGGCCATCAGGAGCCATGTGGTGAATGTTGAGCCATAAATAGCCATGATGTCTTTACTTGGCCTCCTATTGACCAATTCTTCCAGAACCTAAGAAATGGATCATATAAAGCATGATATCCATATTAAACATTACAGTATGAAGTAAATATTGATCATTTTTAATGATAAAGCTGTGAAAACAGGTAAACTTACTTGAAGATTGGAAGGATCCAACAGGGGTTTTCCTTCAATAAATGTTTCCTTTGCCTGTGGGGTTTAATGTGCATTTAAACATTACAAGACACAAAAAAGGATAATGTAACAATTATTATACTATATTCATTTTCATTCAAAGGTGTGGGGTCAGTAAGACTATTTTTTAATGTTTTAGTAAGAAGTTTCTCATTCTCACCAAGGCTGTGAGGTAAAAACTGTGATTGTGAAACATTTTAATTTAATTTGTGAAACAAATGAACTGTATAAAATAAGTGTTTCTATTTGAATATATTTAAACCGTAATTTATTCCGGTGATGGCAAAGCTACATTTTCAGCATTATTACTTCAGTCTTCAGTGTCACATGCTGATTTGCAGTTCAAGAAAGATTTCTTCTAATTATCAATGCTGCAAACAGAAACCATGATATATATATATTTTTCAGGATTCAGTGTTTCAGGAACAGCATTTATTAGAAATACATATATTTTTTTTTGCATTTATAAAATAAAATGTGAAAGTCTCTGTGAACTGTCACTTTTTATAAATGTAATGCATCCTTGCTGAATAAAAATCCCAAAGCCCAACTATTGTGGTAGTCTAGAAATGTTAAATAAGTGTTAGTGCATAAAGAGATTAAATAATACATTCAAGAAGATATTCAAGATACTTCAGATCAGTTTCAGTTGTCTTGTTTTTGTCTAAATATTTATAAGCTAAACATATCCTATATTGTTTATGTTGTTTTACCCAAGATGGCTTCTCCACTCTGTGGTGGCATCCATGAGGCACAGGGATTTCCACTCCAAATGTGAGATTACTGAGTTCTTTAACTGCTTGAGTGAAGGCCCCTAACTCAGTCAATACCTTTATCTGTATACACAAAGAAACACTTGATTAAAACTCACAAAACAGACAAATACATCCACTGCAATACAGCTTTTCAATACATATGAGAATAACAGAAAGACACAACAAAGTCCTTTAAACCTTCAGGATTTTGCATCTGAGAGTATGGTGTGGATCCCGACACACAGTTCTGGCAATATACAGGTACAAAGCCAGAACAGGAAGAGACTGAAACAAGCAGTAACACAGGTGTTGAATATTAAGACGTATCAGACATCAAATGCACAAAGGCAGCTCTTAATATGAGTGTGTCTAGTACCTTGAGAAGGTGCCCTGAGGTATATAGCCAGTGGCAGAGAAAAGACAAACTGGCAATAGTGGTGCCAAGATTCCCACGGTCCGGCTCAGAGAAGAGGTCGATGCCTGGGATAAGCTCCATCTCCACAGAGTATGTGGAGTATGACAGGTCTGTCATTGGATGGGGCATAGAGGCCATGAGAAGGCACTGCAAATCATATGACCTTAGTAAACTTTTTGTATTGGCTCAGATACAAAAACAGAGGTCCTTTCTTTCAACTGTAAGAACATTTCTGTGACTCAATTCTGACCTTGAAGAGTTTGGCAGAGAGAAGGCAGCATTTTGTGCGCTGGTTAATGTTGGAAGTCAGGATGTGCCTGTCAATACAGGAGAAGTCTTACTGCTGTAATGGAGCACCATCACAAAAAAAAAAAAACTTTTTCTCACTCACTGTGCAATTTTGGCTGAAAGCAAAGCTCCCTGGAGACAACCCCATATCCCAGCATGCTGCAGGGTTTCCCGAGAGGAGCTGCAGCTCCATGAGTCACCATCCCAAGATTCCAGATCTCCAGAGTCTTGCAGAGCACAGTCCAGACCCTTACTCCAGAAAAATTGTGCAGATCTATACAAAAAATTGAGCAAAACGTTCAATTAACTAGACTTATGTTTAAAACTTTGGGGTCATTATTACTTTCTAAAGAAAAAAGAAGAATCAGTAACCATGTTTATTCTAATGCCTGATCTGTGATCAGTGATTTCTGATGTGTAATTATTCAAGTTCAGACAGATTTTCACTTTCTCTTAAAATCGTTCAATACTGTTTATGCATCAGTAAACCGAGCCAGTGACTGAAAGATCAACTTCACTTTGTTTCTCTTAGTAGGGTGAAAATAATGATATTTAAACTGTGATTAAATTATATACAGAAAATGTTTAAAGAACGCTCCCTTTCCAATCGCCCAAGCTGTCAATCATACAGAGAAAGTTTATCTGGACACTAGCCAAAACTTGTTATGAAATCAATGACGCTGTTACTGTACACTGCACAACAAAGCTCTTACTGTATTTACATTGTGTTTGCACTGTTATTTGGTTAAAGCATTCGTGAGAGTGCAGAAATTGCGTTGCAATGATGAATCTCTTCATTCAAGCGATCAACAGACTGTCTGTCCTCTGCTCAATGCTCATCACTGTAACCTTTCATGCAATTGGAATATATTTAAATTAGGGCTGTCAAACGATTAATCCTGATTAATCGCATCCAAAATAAAAGTTTGTGTTTACATAATATATGTGAATGCACTGTGTATAATTATTTTATATATATATATAAATACACACACATGCTTGTATATATTTAAGAAATATTTTTATGTATATACTGTATATAGATTTATATATAATTTATATTATATATAAATATAAATATTTTATACATAAATAATATATTTTTTCTTAAATATACATTCGTGTGTGTTTATTTATATCTAAACAAAATAATTACACACAGTGCATCCACATATATTATGTAAACACAAAACTTTTATTTGGATGTGATAAACCGCGATTAATCGTTTGACAGCCCTAATCTAAATATAATGGTATAATCATTACTTTTTACAATTTGTTAATCTCATGGCTGTGATAGTAAAAACTTTGTAAAAGTATTGTAAATGTAATTCTGGCAATTTCATTTGCAAATATGTCAGCCTTTTATTTCTAAATTATGACAATTTTTGATGTAAAAATAATTATAAGGGCACCCCAGGAAACATTATAAAATAATAAAATAATCCAGTTCATGACCCCTTTAAATAAATACAGCCTTGGTGAACAGAAGAGATGTCTTTCAAAAACTTTAAAAAAATCTTGGCGACCCCAACTTTTGAACAGTAGTGTAAACATACAGTATGAAACTGCTCAAACTAATAAACAAAGCAAGAAAACAATGCATTTAACACATCATACTTTCGATTTCCATTAAAGAAATGCAGGTTTCCAAGGTCATGGAGTGCTTGCACCTGGAGGGAGTTGTGCTTATTTGCTTGAAGATATTCTGCACGAAATAACAAAACAACATATCTGTATTGCAAAAGCTTGTTCATGAACAAATTCAGCTTGTAATGTGTCAGAGTTTAGATCGGGTCTCACTAATTGCATTGTTGTAGGAGGAGAAAACAGTCTGGAGCTGTGATGTAGGGAGGGTGGGGCTGTAGATGGAGCCCAGAGAGTTGAAGTCTTCTGTGGAAAGGTCTGGAGGTCTGACACCTGGCGGGATGCAGGCTGCCATGCTGAATTCCACTTTCCCCTGGAGAACGCTGTTGGTCTCTTTAGAGAATGGCACCTCAACATATGCTGAGGCCACATATAAAGGGTGTGATTGAAAGTGAAAACAAAATAGTTGTTTAGTTTGAAGTCAATTAGAATGGCATGGGTTACCAAAATAGCTTTTAAAATAGCGTTTTTTACTTTAGTAGTGAAATAAGGTCTGCAGTAAAGCTTTTTGTAATTTGGGTATAATTTAATGTGAAAGTCTCATTCATTTTGTTTTGATTAGAGACTATAATTTTGTTTTGATTAGAGACTATGCTTTGATATTTGAGACTTTCACATTAAATTCTACCCAAAAAACAGCAGTGCTGCTTGATATTTTTGTGGAACCCATGATACATTTTAATCATGGTTCTTGGAGGAATAGAAATTGATCAGTCAAATGCATCCTTGTTGAATAAACACATTAATTTGTTTCAAGGAAAAAGAATCACAATGACCCGCTGTGGGTCAGACTTACAGTGCTGTGTGTCAGCCAGTAGCAGCAGGAGTAGAGTTCGGCTGTGCTGAAAGGTCAATAGTCCATGATTTCTTCTTTCCAGAGTCTCTCTGAAACACTGCAGTGTGTCCTTCACATCCAACGGTACACACACCAGACACATGGCTCTCTTCACATCTGCAATAAAGATGAAAATAATTATAAAACACACAAGACTTAAATGGTCTTAATAAAAAAATACAAATCATTATAGATGGATCAAATGTATAGAAGCTTGTTTCTGCCATAGAATGAAAAATATAAAAGGTATACTTCTCGCAATTCTGACTTTATTTCTCAGAATTGGGAGATAGAAAGTCAGAATTGCGAGATATAAAGTAAGAATTTCGTGATATAAACTCGCAATTGCGAGATATAAAGTCAGAATTGTGAGATATAAAATCAGAATTGCGTGATATAAAGTCGCAATTGCGTGTTATAAAGTCAGAATTGCAAGATATAAAGTCAGAAATGCGTGATATAAAGTAAAAAAAAAGTTAAAAATTTGCCTGATCGCAATTGCGAGTTTATATCTCACAATTCTGAGAAAAGATGTCAGAATTTCGACATATAAACTCGCAATTATGTGTTATAAAGTCAGAATTGCAAGATGTAAACTCGCAATTTTAAGAAAAAAAGTCAGAATTGTGAGATAAAAACTCGCACTTCTGTCTTTTTTTCTCAGAATTGCGATTTTATATCACGCAATTCTGACTTTATATCTCGCAATTCTGACTTTATATCACGCAATTCTGACTTTATATCACGCAATTCTGACTTTATATCACGCAATTCTGACTTTATATCTCGCAATTCTGACTTTATATCTCGCAATTCTGACTTTATATCTCGCAATTCTGACTTTATATCTCACAATTATGACTTTATATCACGCAATTCTGACTTTATATCTCGCAATTCTGACTTTATATCTCGCAATTCTGACTTTATAACACGCAATTGTGAGATAAAAAGTCGCAATTCTTTATTTATTTATTTTTATTCAGTGGCGGAAACAAGCTTCCATAGGAAATGTGACATGCAAAACACACAAAATTTATCAGAAAATGAATGGGACCTAGCAACCCTTTTCTGTAGACTGTACCTGCAAGTTCCTTGAGCTCTGGGTTAGTATCATTTGCAGTAATCATAATTTGACCTTCTCCACAAGGAAACAGCAATTGTCTGCTTGCATAATTCCGGCAGGTCACCTATGGACATCAGTCACAAAACTGTTTTGTTGAACAGGCTTTGAACTCAAACTTTTAAATACTTGCGCCCAAATTGATAAGAATGATGCGTATGTGTATTGATAAGAATGATGCGTATCTTTCTACCTTCTCTCCAGAGATAAAAGCAGTGTGGGTGAAGTGAGGTTGAGGTGCTGGAGGACCACCGAAAAAGCTGATCCTGTCCAACAGCCTCCTCTGTGCATGCACCAGAACAGGTGTTACCATGTGAGAGTAGCGCTCCCTGAAAGCCATGCACCTTGTATTTAAATAGCTACTCTTTTGTGAGAGGAATTCTATTCATAAACTTTTCAGTTAAGTGTATACTTTCAGCAAGTACACAAACCAATGCCACCAGCATCAGTGAATTATAAGCGTACCTAGTGTATGAGTTGAAAAGTAGTGCAAGGTGGGCGAGACTCTCCCACTTGGACTGGTAGTACAGAAGCTCTAATGTGTGCAGAACCAGAGTCCTCAGCCAGCGCAGATCTATCATTGTCCCATCATCCACTGGAGCAGAGAAGTACAAGCTGGCCTCAACCTCCCCTTCTTCATCATCATAAATATTCCATAGCTAGAGAATTTTAAAAAACAGTTACGTATGTCAGATAACTTTATCCAGTAGATTAGTGGTCATTATATACAAATATTTGACTGCAGAATGAGGTAAATGGCCAATTAAGTATCCAAATCAAGTTTTCCAGAGAGCTCTAACAATGGTGCATGTGATTTTATCTGGCAGGCCGTTTATAAGTGGATTCTTAATCTTAATTTAGCACATGAATGTGCATTTAAATTATAATTAATAATTGTTTATATAATGTAATCAACAAAATAAAAATAATAAAGAAATCTTTATAAATTATTAGATAAATGCTAAAAAAAAAATGCATTGTGTTTAATTGATGTACCTATACTGACACTCCCACATTTTACATATAATTAATATTATATTATGTAGGGACAGTGGGCAAAAAGTCAAAAAGGTTAAAGCCACTGTTTTAGAGGTGATGTGTATTAACCTTAAGCTTCTCCATCATGTCCATAAGAAGATCTGAGGCCAGCACCAGTAGAGGAGTGATCACTGTATAGAGCTGCTCTTTCGTCAGCTGTCTGGCATGGGCATCAGTGCCTTGGGCTCGCTCTATCATCAGGGCAAGTGTGCTGGTTTGGTCCCACAGAGTCCGACACACCCACTGTAAAGTTGTCCAGTGACTCCAGCGATGTGCTAGCACCTGATGTTAAAAAATGGGAGATGCCGTTGATAAAATCACACAAAAAAACAAGATGAGTGTATCAAATTAGACCTATTAAAATGAAACCGCATTTACCATAGCTCTGCGCAAGTATATAGAGGCTTTGTCAAGTGTGTCCAGTACATGAAACGTGGCTTGACCAGTAGGAGCGTCATCAGCGTCAGGGTTGTGGGTGTGGCGAAATGTAGAGCCCACTTCACTTTCCACTTCACTGTCTGCAGAGTTCAACTCCTCATCAGTGGTGTTTGGTTCTGTTGAAAATGTAGAGCAAGGTATGACAATCATTCACTGCATCGACATGTAATGATCTACACTACCATTCAAAAGTTTTGGGTCAGTAAGGTGTTTTTAAAGAAATTAATACAAAAGTGAAAGTTAAGACGTATATAATGTTACAAAGATTTCTATTGCACATAGATTCTTTTGAACTTCTCTAATTCATCAAAATCTAACTAAATCTATTCAAACATTCATTTTTTTTATCATAGATACCAGAAAAATATTAAGCAGTGTCGGTTTTCAACAGTGATACTAATATAGCGATACCAGTGATACCAAATTAGCATATTAGAATGATTTCTGATCATGCAACACTGAAGACTGGAGTATTGATCCTGAAAATTCAGCTTTGCGTCACAGAATTAACATTTTAAAGTTACTTTCGTTATTTACATAGTTACTTTCAAAGTTATTTTAAATTTAAATATTTCACAATGTTACTGTATTGTACTGTACTGTAAAATATCTTTCAAAATATCTAACCAACACCAAATGTATGACCGGTAGTGTAGATTCAGCTATCATCTTAAAGAGACTTTAACTCACCTTGATTAGTGTGTTTAACTTTCCGTTTCACTTTTCGTTTGTTAGCACGGGATCCAGGATGAGGTACAGATTTAGTACACGGAAGTGTCAATTCAGGTGGCCTGATTTGCAGTGAAACGTTCTTCCACATAATTAGCATTCCACAATGAGCGAGAGAGAAGAAAGACTGCGATAGATGACTAAAACTGGAACGGATAGAAAAAAGCTTAAGTTTCAATCGAGTATGTTCAGAGAAAGCAATAATAAAAGGGTTTTTAACAGGACAAATAAAATAGACTTGATATTCAGAGTAAAGACGAAGACCCAGACATTGGCATTAATCACAGTTTTTCTGTTGGATCTTCATACCAGAGCTGGGGAGGTGGTCCAAGATTCTTCCTCAGCATGCCTAGGTGGGCACGAGCCAGGCTCAGATTGACATGGCAACGCCACAGCGAATCCTCAGAGAGCATCTGCCTCAGCTTACCGAGGCGCTGATGTCGTCTGATAAAAGCGGCAAGTAGATCTATCAGGATGTCCACAGCTTTGACCTCTCTGAGAGACACAAAAGCAAATACAGACATGTAATCATGTCTACATATATGTATATGTAATCGTGTATATAACAAATATGTAATAACAAATATGAAATATGTAATAAACATGTATACTACCATTTAAAAAAGGTACATTTTTAAAGAAAAGAAAATATTTATTTAACAAAGATGCATTACATTGATCAACATTTTAAAGGGGTGATGAACCGAGAAATAAAAATAGCAAAAAATAGAAAATAGCCTATTACTTATACATTTTGATGTTTTTTAATGTAAAAACCAAGGCAACGTCATAAGCTGACCTCAGACAACAACAGAAAAACATTTAAAAAGCCAGTTCATGACCCCTTTCAAATAAAAACCTTTCTATTTATGAAAGAAAAAATATGTATCACAAATGTTGACTGTGTTTTTAATAAAATAAATCTTGGTGAGCATAAGAGACTTTCGACAAAAAAATGTTTGAACGCTAGTGTACACTTTAATACATCTTAAATATGGAATGATTTAGTATTGTGCAAGCTGGCCCGGACATTTCTTTACCTTTCAGAGTTCTGGCTCTTGAATGCAATCAGTAGTCTTTTCTGTAGCAACTTCCTGTGACGCAAAAAGGTGCCACCTTTTTTTTTCTGAAATGCAGTTAAATTGCATTTACAAAATGAAAGAGATAAGTAGTGAGTGCAAATTAATGCATTTTAGTATGTTACCGCATTTTCGCATAAAAGAAGCTTACCTCTGTATTGTACTCTATCACAGAGGTTGTGAAGTCTTTCCGCTCCTCTTCTGGTGGACTTGAGTGTTTCTTTGCCACGTCACGTCTAGCAATATTACAGAAATGTAAGACAAAACACCTGAACACATTCCAAACATGTATTGTACCCAAAAAGAGACACACACTCGCCTGCTGAGCCAGTTCAAGATGTTCTGTTCCCACTGCAACACCAGATCCAGCTCATCTTCTAGCAGGGCTTTCTGGAGCAAGTGCACAACAAACTCCAGAACACAAGGTTTTTCCTTGAACTTCATCACTGAATCACAACACACACACACACACACAAATACAAGAAAATGAGTGAATGATAGCTCATTCAATGAATCAGATTTTCTTCATTATGTGTTGTTTGCATTATACCCTCTTTAAAGGCATGCTGGAGGGGGCTGTTTTCAATCACCGTGTAGAGTACGACAGGGTCTTCCTGTCCAGTGAGCTCACATCCATGAGGCACTGCAACAAATGCCACAACAAACTAAAATTACAAAACAAGTTCTTTATTTGGCAAAAAATGTATATATTGCCATTCTGATCTGAGATAAATGAAAAACATGTACCTGTTTTGTTACAAGAAGTGACACCATAGTTTCCTAATGTTTCTGCTTGCATGTTTTTCATGACAATGGCCTCTAAAATCTTTAGCTGTTTACTGGGATCCTCATCATACGTTGGAGTTGTCTTCTTCTGGAAATCAAACACACAGTATGAACTATGAACTGAACTAGTTCATGTAGAAACTACGATAAACAAGAGAAATCCCATACCCCATCCTGCTCCATTGATGATTGTTTGGCAGGTTTCAGAGGGGGCTCAGTGATTTCCTGAAGTAGTTTCTTTCCCAACTTAAACACAAATGATGCCATGTCACTCTCCTGAGTGGAGCGTAAGCTCTAAAAACACACAGAAATGCATCATACACTTATAACACATGCAAAAACAATAATTTGTTAAATCTACAGGATGCTGGATGAAATAGTTTAGACACAAATAAATTTGTTTCTCACAAACAATCTTAAAAACACTTGAAAACTTCTTCCTCATTTATTCATTCATTCTTAACAGGTGAGCAGTTTATTGTATGTAATTACTACCTTGACTAAATAATAAGTGATACAGGCAACCATGTGCTGCAGGGACTCTGTGGTGGCAGCGGGGCGTTTCTGCTTGAGGACCTCTGGAATCTCCAGCAGAACTGAAAAGCACTTCAGCAGCATCTGAATCACACATTGAGGCATCTAAATTCACCTTTTCACATAAAAAGCTGATTTAATAATGAAATTATGGATCTTCTGATAAAATGTTCCCCCTAAACCCGAACCAAATCTAAACATAGATTCAAGACAAGCTAGCACTGACATATAAGTGTTATCAAGCACATTTCTAAAAGTAATGACCTCAATGACAGGCTCTGAAGGAATCTGATTGAAGATTATTGGAGCGAGTAGGCCGTAACAGTTTACTACAGGCTGCAGGGTGCCAGCGCTGTCATTGAGGTGCAGAGCAAGATCAATGGCCACCAGCATCCGTTCACATTCTGCAAGCCTGGCCTCCTGTGACGGATGTGCCGACAGAACAGATTTACAAGGACAAGGGTGAATTACTTGAGAACAACTAGGCTGCAATATCAGTTGTGATGATATATATATATATATATATATATATACAATTTTAAGGAAATTTTCCCTTTGTAGGCACTAACCTGGCCCAAGATCAAAGGGCCCCCATCACAGAGACTGTCACAGAATAGTGCCCCCTCTTGGATGTGAATATCTGTCTGGATGAAAATAGTGGAGAAAAACAGCTGCTGTAGGAGAGGAGAAGAAAACTGTAGGGTCTCTGGGCGGAGTCTGCATGCAGGAAAAATGGAACACAAATGGAAAAGATAATACGACACATTATGTTATATTTAATTATAATATATTATTAAGACTTTATTCAAGACCTTCACAAATAATAATTAATTTTAATTTAAACGTAAAAAAAAAAATTGTACATTTCAGATTCTTTCACACTTGTTTGGATATTTTTCTACCTTGTTTGAGCCAGCCTTTCAGGACTGGCTTCTTGTTCCGGCTCTGGAACCTCAGGATTTGAGCTTGGAGGAAGGGTAAAGTGGCTCCATAGCTCATTACAAGCTCTTTTGGCAAGGCTGTGGAGTCCTATCTGATAAGCCACCTAAACAACATAAAATCTGGCATTAAGGAATGTGGATGAATATTTTGGGAGACACACAAAAAATTCCGATCCATGTACCTGAGCAATGTAGGCCCAGGTTGTTAGCAGTGGTAGAGGCAGGGAGGCCAATAGAGGTCTGGTGGTCTCTCCAATGGCTCCGCCCACCATTTTGCCTTGAGCATCAAAAGCACCCACTGCAAAAATGTACTTCTTATCAGGTTTTAACCCGCTTACGTGAAGTAAACACTCACCTTTGGCAGGTATCTGATTGAAACACAAATTTAATTTCAGTTACTGAGTATGAATGAACAATACAGACATTAAAAAGTTTTGATATGTCAATGTGGGATTTACCCTACCATTTCTCCAGTCCCACATAGGTAGCAGTCTTTAAGTCGTACTTTTAGGTTGATACCCTCTGCATCTCTTCCATAAATACAATACCAGCTAACCTAGATCAGGATAAAAGTTAATTGATGATTTTCAGCATTTACACATGAATATCCAAAGAGCTATTGACTGATCTCAGAATTGTGTTTTTAGAGAAGACGTGACAACCTCCTCTTCCAGTGCGTATGGTGCAGGTGTAAAGATCATGGAGCAGTTAGATCGTGCCAGGAGTATTGGGGTTGGTGGTGGATGTCTCTTCTCTGCCAGTCCTAAACTGTTCTCTGAAGGAAATGTACAACTAACCAGCTTCCTCTCTTCCAGCTCGGCATTCACCATTAGCCTTATGGCCTCCTGGAGAGAAAAAGAGACAGTTTAGATCATGTTATCTGATAATCAAAACCAGCAGCATGAGATGATGTGGAATCAAATGTTTGGAATTGACATCAAATACTGACCTCAAGTATTTTCTTGGTCTCTCGACTAGCCTGGTCCTTCCTGAATGCCAATAAGGCCTTCTGCACCAGGAAAACAGTCTTAGAGATCGTATTCTTCTTGATTTTCTCAAGTTCCGTAGAGTCTGTTAAGGAGTAAATCTGGGTAAAACTGACATACTGATCGTCTTGAGTCGGTCAGTCGACGCCACGTCGAGACCGACAAATAGGAATCTCGCTAGATCTACTTTCGAGTGAAACTACATAAGCCAATTCATATATAATGAGTAGCAGGTGCGATTGCACTTCAGCTTTTTGCTTCGGAGTTGAGCACTTCGATGCTGATATCTAAACAGAGTGTGAACAAGTTCTCAGGAGGATCTCTGGTGGCTGGTGCGGGCGATACAGCATGGCAGTGGGGTCGAATTTCTCTCTTTCTCTCTTTATCTTTTGTTGCCTGTAAAAAAACTGAGCAAAAACAAAAAGCTGGTAAGGTGCGACGTTAGAGCTCTGAAAGGCTGTTCTTACGGCTGGTAAGATCACCAGTGAGAGAGACAGCGAACGACAGGTACACATTCCTGTCTGTGTTCGCTGTTGGTGTTGTTCCCAGATGCCTCTGTCACCGGGCTGGGGAGCCACGTACAATGTGCATCCAGTGTCAGGGGTGTGGGCAGGCCCCCAACTCTATTGGCACATCAACTGCCTTCGAGTTGCTAGCAGTACATCTCGCTCTGAGCCGCTTAAATAGGCCGCTTCAGGGCAGGGAAGCGCTGGTCCGTATGGACAACACTGCGACCGTTGCATACATCAACCGGCAAGCCGGTCTACGCTCCCGCCGCATGTCACAACTCGCCCGCCATCTCCTCCTCTGGAGTCAGAAGCATCTGAAGCCACTTTGAGCCATGTACGTCCCCGGTGTGCTCAACCGCGTGGCAGATGAGCTGTCACGAGCTGTCCTCCTGGGAGAATGGTGACTCCACCCCCAGGTGATTCAGCTGATCTGTAGAGAGTTTGGGGAGGCTCAGGTAGACCTGTTTTCCTCCTCAGAGACCACCCACTGCCAGCTATTTTGCTCCCTGACCGAGGGAACACTCAGCACGGACACACTGGCAAACAGCTGGCCCCGTGGCCTCCGCAAATATGCATTTCCCCCAGTGAGCCTACTTGCCCAGACCCTGTGCAAAGTCAGGGAGGACAAGGAGCAGGTCGTTCTGGTGGCTCCCTATTGGCCCACCTGAACCTGGTTCCCCGAACTCAAGCTCCTCATGACAGTCCCTCCCTGACCCATTGCTCTGAGGAAGGACCTTCTGACTCAGAGATGGAGCAACATATGGAACCCGTGCCCGCACCTCTGGAAACTCCATGTGTGATCCCTGGACAAGACGCAGAGATTCTAGGTGACTTACCCCCAGAGGTACTTAACACCATCACTTCATCACAGGCGCCGTCTACGAGATGTATGGACATCTTGAAGTGGAACCTGTTCGTCGAGTGGTGTTCTTCGAGTGGTGTTCGTCTCGCGAAGGACCCCCGAAGACGTTTTCCTTCTTTCAGCAAGGGTTGGAGCTGAAAGCAGCACTGGATAGTGGATGACATCGCCTTGGCTTACCAAGCACAAGACATGCCCTGCCCCTTCACATTTTTGCTCCAGAGTGAAAAACCTGTTGAGTCCTCCAACACCCTCTGCCCGGACGTGGCGGAACATCTGGCGCCAGGCTTTTTTCCATTGACTCCTTGAGAACCGGGTCTGGGCTGGGTTCCATATGTGTGACCCTGAGTGGATCCCATATGTGTATTTCTTCCACGGCTGCTCCTAAACGGAAGCCTGTGTCTTTCCCTTGGGCTAAGTCACCCAGTATTTCAAATGTAGCACAACCTTCGGGCAGGTTAGTCCATATGTATATCTCCACATAACTCCTTCAGGGAAGAATGTGGGTTCCGCAGCGTTCTCCTTCTTGACCGACTGAAGAGGAACGTCTGGGTTATATATGGTAACACTCGTTCTCTGAAGGAGGGAACGGAGATGCCACGTCCCATAGCCACATCTGCTGCGGCCCGCTGGGGCAGCCAGCTTATTGGCTCAACTACTCAGCAAAAAGCTAAAGGTCAATCTCATCTGCTGCTCATTAAATACCCATGCTGCGTGGCTGAACAGTTGATGCAAATGATTGCGCACCAATGTGATTTGACTCGATGTAGATTGGCCTAGTCTCTAGCATGATTCCTTTTCGTCGGTCTCGATATGGCATCTCCGTTTCCTCCTTCAAGAAACGAGGGTTATCATATGTAACCCAGACGTTCCGTTCATGTTACACTGTTTTGAAACTCACCTTCTATAGGTCTGTTTGTTTCTGAGGTCTGTGCTCGATTAGTATGTGACTTCTTACTCTCCATCAAACTGATCTCTTCTGAGGAGGACAAATACGATGCATTGAGTGACAAGCTTAAATGTCATTTACCTAAATGTTGAAAGATTGCATATCTCTCTGACCTGGCCAGGAGTCAGAGAGTTTGAGAGTGAGTCTGTGCTGAAAGACCATTAGCTCTAGGTGTAAATCCATGGAAAGTGCATTAAGGTCAGTGATGCTGCTCTCTTGGATTCTGCTTCTCTTTGAACTCTTGTAATCACCAAACTTCTGTGGTTAAGACAGTCATCACATTTTATAAAGCATGCTTACTGTATATAAAGTAACAGGAAGTAACAGAGCTTGTGTTGTAGGAAGTAAAACTTGGTATGTTCGTGCCTGCATAAACAACTTGTCAAAGACAGCAGAACCCCCATTAAGTGACCTGGCCCTGCCTCTGGACACACAATCCACACCTCGTTCCACCAAATCCAATGCAGTCTGCAGTTGCTCAGTTCGGGACATCTGCAGACATGTTTAAAATAAAGTTTTATTATGGTTAAAACCTGACTCAATTCCATAAAACTGCATGAGATTTTGCTGGTTTAAATGACATTCTCAGATTCTAAGGTATACTTGTTTAAATTGTTCTAAATGTTGAATCTAATGATGCTGAACTGCTTATAAACTTGTAGAGTTTTATCTTCTATTTCTACTTTGTAGGACAACATACCATGAACAATGAGCTTGCAGATTTTCCAACAGGGATGGACTCCTCACTATCTACAGTGGTGGCTACAGAAAAAAACACAAGGGAAGAAAACTTAAATATATAACTAAAAGTGCAAAATACACAAAACAAGTTTTCATTGAGGTCTGTCATGCTCAATAAGGCTGCATTTATTTGATTAAAAATAAATATAATTTGTCTCATTTTTTGTACTCATTTTTATGTATTCCGAAAAAGAAAGCAAAACAAAGGTTTGTCTGGACGTGTCCATCTTAGTTTTCTGACCTGTGTGTGCTAGAACACAGTCAACTTGGGTGTCACGCCATTCCCAACCCCGTTATCCCTATTCTGAGGTAAATAGTACCTGTTTTTCTCCCAGACTGTGGCACATCCATGCTGCTTTCCAACATCATGGCAATTCTGAGAGTCATTTCAGCCACTAATAAGAAGTCTACTTCAGCCAGCTGGTGCTCATGGGCCACTTCACACAACAAGAGCAGGGTCTCCATCCACTACAGAACAAAACAATACAAAAAAAACTGATTACAAAGCAGCAGCTAAATGAATACTTGCTAAAATTTACAAAGCAATCATGCAAAAGCAATCAATTCGCTCATAATAATCATGTTAGATTAAATGTTTATTGGAATAATAACCTGGTCTTGGTTTGCCATTCTTCCCCAGTAGTGCACATGGTCATGGAGCCTCATCTGCGCTCTTTGAAAAACTGTTTTGCATTTAGCCCAAAAGAAGAGCACGATGTCCAACACCAAATCTGCATCTGGCCGGATATTCTGTTTGCACACACATACACAACATCAGGTTACCAACAACAGCTTTATGACCTCTTCAGACAGTGTGAGAGAAAGATCTGACCTTTTCTGTTCTACAGACACAAGCATGAAGTGTCTGAATAAGATTGAACAATTCTTCTGTCATGATTGCTGGTCCAATATTCTTGTCTGTAATGGAATAAAACAAAACAAGAGGGATTATGTTAATTTTTGTTTTAAAATAAAATAAAGATTTGTATATAAATCTATGGATGCACAATATAGTTACCACCATATCAGTATCAGCTGATACACAGTATGTTCATTTTTAATGTTATTGTTATTGGCCCGATAAGAAAATTTGCCTGATATATTAAACCTGATAAATAATCAATTATTTTCTTCAGATGAGACACTTCAGATGTGCACTGTTCGATTGAAATACCTTCAAAAATAAGAATATGTGCAAAGTGTAATATGTGCAATGCAAGTCTGTCATATAGGCTACATAAAATTATAATACGAGCCTTTTTTTTATTGTGTGCTTTTTACATGGATTTTCTGTAATCCGGCTCTAAAAAAATTATATACAAATTTGGATTTTGATTTATCGGCTTTAATATATTGGTTATCGGCTTTCAAATTTAAAGAATTATCAGTTATCGGTATCAGTCAAAATTTTCAAATCGGTTTATCCCAATATATAAATTAAAGTACATAAAAAATAACTGAAATATATTATCAATTAATTAATATAAATCTCGATGACTTGATTATTGCTATGAGTGAAATCATTAAATTCTTGATTAGTACCAGCTTGATCATCAAAAGCAGCATCTTTCATGGTGATTTTAACTTTTTGAGTAGACATCAAGCGCTCCACAGCCTCCAAAAGCCTCAGTTCCAGCTCATACTTCCTAAACGGGCAGCCCTCCATGTTCTGTGAACAGGCCAAGAAAGAGACTAAATAAAGCAGTCTGGCTGCCTTTTTTAAGCCGTATCACGAATGTACTCACAGCTAGCGCTGACATAAGTGCTGAAGAGAGTGAGCTGAACGTGCTCCACTGTTCATATCTGAAGAGCTGCTTAACAAACTTCACCGCAGCATCTACTGCGATCTTACTATTTCCTGAGAGACACAAAATAGAGACCCTGAGCGAACACAAATTAGAGTGAAGTAAAATAAATGGCCAGTTAAATTCAAGGACTCACCAGCGACAGCCATGTCAAAGAGAGAGGAGGTAGGAGTGACTGCCTTCACAGAGGGAGGCATGCTCTCATCAAAAGTGTGTTCAGTATCACCAAATGCTGCAAAACAGGGATATTTACACTCTATAATTGATATTTAGTTGCACATTGACAGAGAGGATGAAAATGTTTACCGGACAACAAGCTAATGCCAGCCGAAATGAGCTCCAGTACCACGTCCTGAACCTCGAATTCCTCAGGCATGCCGGTCTGCAGTGGCCTGACAGAGCTGTCATGCAGAGCTTCCAGCACAGCCAGAAACCGAGCAGCATTTCCCTCAAACATCTCCATCAGGATATGCTCGGTTGGCGTGCGAGGCCATGGAGTCTACAGAGAGAAATAAGGGAAACAGAATAGATATTAGAAAAGAACTAGGGGAAAGAGGCATCGTACCTCATTAAAGTCAATACTCACTAGCTGTAGCTCTTTCAAATTTCTCTTCTGTTTGGGTTTGAAGAGGCCTTTCGGTTTCCTACGGGGTTCGTACACTGAACGCTTGAACACCATCACTGCAAGCTTCTCTCCGTCAATGGAGCAATAAGAAGATTCAAGACAGGCATGAAAATATTGTAGTTAAAATACAAGAACTATAAAAACAACAGCATGTTTCATTTAGGCTACCGTTCTCACTTTTATTGTGGCCTCCTTATAAGCTTGCTGGGTCTCAAAAGACACTTGGGAGCCAGTAATCTCCTCCAGCTTGGCCAGTTCACTGATCTTGCCAAGGGCTCGGCGAGCAAATACCTAAAGCCAAGCAAGGGCACAACAAGAGGCAAAAATGACAGAATGTCTATGTGGTCTCAGATATCCGTCATAAAGCTATAAGATGATTTTTGTTTTGGCGTGAAACCCACCTCTGCCTGAACTGAAGCACAGTCATGAAAGTAACATTCACACACAGCACAGCAGAGTGTGGACCACCATGGCAGGAAGTTGGCCGTCAGCAGAGGAACAGAAGTCTCTAGACATATGCATGCCCATAGTAAGTACTCTAAAACCTGAACGAAGACCAAAAAAATAAAAATAAAATAAATGTGTGTATTTTGCACCAAAAAAGTACTTGTCCAAACATGAAGAGATTTGATTCACAGAAATGTAATACATGTTGTTAATTAAAGTAATAAGAACGTATGTTGATTTGCTTTGTACATTTTCACTTTTCTACTTCTGCTTATTTGTATTGTACAACAACCTGAGGTAAACAAAATTAGACTAGTGTGGTCATCTGTTAATCTTGATATATTAATAAGGTTTTGGTACACTGTCATTCAAAATCTTGAGTTTGGTGTGATTTTTAAAAATGTTTTTAAAAAATCTACTCTCACCAAGGCTGCTTATATTAAAATAACTGTTTTCTATTTTATTCACACACACACACACACACACACACACACACACACACACACACACACACACACACACACACACACACACACACATATATATATACATATACTGTATATATATATGTGATATGTGATTTATTCCTCAGATGATAAATCAGATTTTTTACCAGCCAGTTTTCAATCATAAGATACTTCAGAAATGTGCTGTTCAAGAAACGTTTCTTATTATTAGCAATGTTCAGTGATCAGTGGTCAAAAAAAAAAAATCAGTGGTCCTGTTTTTTTTTTCATTGTTTTTTTGTTTTTTGTAAACAGTATTGTTATCCTTAAAAGTCTTACAAAACATGTAAACTGTTTTTGAGAACCTGTGAAGCATGGCCTGCTGACATCAGGAACCTGCATATGTCATACATGTGTAACGAGCCTGAGGAAATATAGAAAACAAGTCACATCAGCACTTATTGTCAGTGTGAAATGTACAGCACCAGACATTTTGCTGCTGAATGTACCATTGTACAGGATCCAGCATAAACTTTCATCAGGCAGAATAGCCTGCATAAGAATGCGCACAAATCCCAGGATGCTCAGCAACTTTTGAACCCCAGCCTGGTCTGGAAGTGCACTTTTCTCTTTCTCCAAATAGAAGATGCATTTGCATTCTCCCTGAAGAGCACGGAACTAACAGAGACAAGGATCAAAGTTCATTCATTATGAATCAATAACCACACTAACATTTTAATATTTAAAACTAACATTTATATTGAAAACAGCTAAATGCACTACTTCAGGAAGGATCTCTTACAGTGAGCTGGGCCCTCTTTGAACCAAAGCCATCTAAGAAGAAGGACTGCTTGAAGTGATCCACATCTCTTATGCTTTCCAGGCTTAGAGTACAAAACTGCTGCAGATAGAGTCTGTACCCTTGCCAGAGAGCCAGCCTGTAAAGCTTATAAGAAATTATAAAGAGTATTATTTAGATAAAATAAACATTATGTTGATATATTAATGAAAACGGAAGGGATTAGCAAAATACATTTACAGAAGTAACTGTGGCAAAAAGGGTAAAAAATACAGTTGTCATTACCTTGGTGTCAAGGAGGAAATCAGCAGTTTGCAACAGGTGCTCTTCGAAATAACATGGAGGAAGGCGGGATTTATACTTGTTCCATGTTTCAAAAAGTTTTATGGACCTGTCAGTTAACAAAGTACATTAAGTAAGGAATAATTGACGAGAGGCCGTTGAATTATTAGAAAAATAATGCACACCGAGGTCGTAATGCGCTCGATCAAGACGCGAAGTGGAGTGGCCGTTACACCTCGGGTCTTTTTCTAATAATTCAACGGCCTCTGGTCAATTATTCCTTACATAACATAATACAAACACAAATTACATTATTTTTGTACCCTAAGAGATTTTCGCTCTTTTTTTCTTCTTGTTAGTCTCTTACCCCCTGGAGTAGGATCGGTTGTCGTACTTCGGAGAGCCTAAAAGTTTCTTTATATGCACTTTAAACTCTTTTAGGTCACTTTGAAATGCTGACAGTACAGGGTTGTTTTTGTCCAGGGGTCCGTAGTAGGATGCTGGTAAAGGGTCCATGTTTCCATCTGTGCGTGCGCGAGCGTACTGTGTTTGAATCCGTTGTTATGGATATGACGCTCTCCACTATGGCAAGCCGTTTTAGCTTAAATGGGCTATAGACGCTTTCAGCAGTGACAACATGCAAACGGTACTGCGCACGTGCATTAATCTGGCCCAAACTTAACTTCCGGCAGACTTGTGGAGACAATCCATAACAAGTACCTAGTATAGCTGGTATTTCTTGCCAGTCAAAGAAAATAAATGTTACCTGGCCAAACTGAAATGTGACACTACCAGACCCGTTGAACAAAAATTGGAGACAAGATGTTTTTCTACCGACGTGTCTGATTTACTGCAGTGTTACTGTAAAAAAAAACTGCGGCGAGCGCGACGGCGGGGTTTGATACGGTTAACATAGCTCTCCTTATTAGCTAGGCTACTTACATGCGTGCTAACTAGGGGTGGAGCCGAATCCGAATACGGTATTCGGAAAGGTACAAATAATGTGTTTTTTACGAATACTTATTCCGAACAAATACTTAAAAAAATATTTGTATTCGGGAACAAGAAATACTTTATATCAAAAAGCTGCGTTCCTCACGAGACGCGAGTTGAGTGACTTGAGTCAGTGCGCGAGTTGAGTGAGCGACGTTCAGGAAGAGGTGACTGACAGGCTGCTCCACACAGCAACAGAGAGGGCTCGGCTGAGCGAAAAAAAAACACTTAACTGCATCACTATTTTTGTTTAATAGATGTTTGTACCTTAACTATGTTCCGGTGGCAGTTTATAACTTTCGGGAAGCGGAGTTTGATCGGGAGTATATTCCATTATTGACGTCTGCAGACGGGTGCTTTCATGTTCGCTCTGTTTACGTAGCTCTGTTAGCTCGGTAACGGTAATTATTTGTTTCATGGCTTGATTGAATTCCAATGTAGAATGCGGTCTGTTATTATAACAGGCCCCTGCTTATAAGTATAACACACCGTTGCTATGAAAAACAGAGCGTTGCCATGGATTCTAAACGTAGAGACAGAACGGACTATTTTTCTTTTTTTAGCGGGAGCGATACAATCGTTTTTTAAATCAATAAACTCCTTTTTATATCCATATTTTGAGTCAAATTATTGATTTATTTGGTAGGTAGCCATGTAATAAGCGGAGTAATGTAGAGCGAGGCGTAGTTATAGCGAAAACCCTTCAGGCTTCGCGTCGGGCTCATAATCAACCTCCTCACTATAAATTATCCATATAACTTATTCTGTCTGCACAGCGTCCTCCACCGTGGTGTTGGGGTTCATAATGTTCACAATTGTATTTTATTAGTTGTTGGTTTAACCATGGTTCATGAGGTAATGGCTGACTGTTATTTTCTTTTCAATGACTTTTCTTGTTACATGTTCATTGCTGGATTTATAGAAAAAATCAACCAATATTGCATATCCATAATTATTATAATGGATATAATTAAAGAATCCATACACTATAAAGTATTTTTAAAGATTTTTATGCCTATTTTGAATTTTACTCGAATACAAATACAAATACAAATACTTTTCCTCCCTGAACAAATACAAATACAAATACAAATAGCGGCTGCTTTGCACACCCCTAGTGCTAACCTTCTTTTAAGGTGGGTCTCCTCCACATTGACAGCATGTTGGATGTATCTGTGCAGCGCTGTTTAGGATAGTAACCATTCAATACACAGACTGGTCCGCTCTCAATGTGTTTGCGAGAGAGAGAGAGAGTGAGAGCGTGCGAATATGCGCTGCACGCAACTCTGCAGTCAATTACAACGTTTCCCATCTTAAATTGTTAAAAACACGGAAATCAATATGTGGCGGTCAGCGCTGATAATGTGGTGGGCTGCCACTAATAAATGTATGGGAAACACTGTACCGGTTATCACTCAGATAAACATAGGCCATTTTAAGACCGCCGTCTCCCTCATAGGAAACCTTGACATTTTTATTTTTAAAAATTGCGTTTGCTCCCTAGGTCAGGTTGCACCCCACAGCTCAACAACCTGCTCATCACCTTAACTTTCACTGCATTTGTAGTCATTGCCATATTATCAAGTAAACACTAATAAACGAACAGAATGGAAGTTAACTTTGGGCCAGCTCATCACCATGGCAACGCGTCTGATGAAAGCGTCTATATGCACGCATAAGTTCAGCATTTGACGCAAGGATGCTCGTCCATTTCCGGTTGTGGAGATTAAAGTGGAGGAACACTGAGGAAAACGGGATTATGGCAGAGTCTTGAATGAAATGAAATGAAATGTACGTTTAGATGTAATTTTATATTTATGTTTATTTAATACAATTTTAAAAAGAAGCATAAACACAGCGAGGGGTGTCTGTTATAACTATTTTTGTGACTAACGTTTCTTTAGTATAACCATGGAGTATACTGTAAAATTCAATATAAATTCTCGGTATTGCATTGATGGACTCTACGATCGGCGGAAGTTATCGAGCATCCTTACATCTTCATCGGAAATACCGCCGTGCATAGAGCCCATTGTACCCAGCCAAAAGACGAATTAATGTATAATTGCAGAGCTCTGTAATTGAATTAAAGCTCTGTAATTGCATTCTTACTCGTAACAACTGAATTAGAGAGCTCTACAATTATAATTGTTACTAGTAAGAATTGAATTCGAGAGCTCTCTAATTGTAATAGTAAGAATTGAATTGTAGAGCTCTCTAATTGAATTGATACTAGTAAAAATGAAATTATGACGAGTAAGGCTGGGTACAATTTAAGCTAAAGTAGTTTGAATTTTAAAGTAGTTTGAAGTTTAAATTAGTCTAAAGTTTAAATTAATTTAAAGTTTAACTTAGTTTAAAGTAGTTTCTAGTTTAAAGTAGTTTAAAGTAATTTACGTAAAGTTGCTATGGGTGTTTCTAGTGGGTTGCTAAGGTATTTTGGATAGATAGATAAAACAAGGTATTACATCGACGTTAAACCGTTAACCGTGTTAACCATAACCTTTTAAATACTCGACCTAGTTCCGTTGATTAGCAACGGGAAGAAACTCCTGTAACTTCAGTGCCCAACCCGTATCACGACAAGACGTGAAATAATGACGTTGGTCCACTTTGGAAAACGTGTAGATGTCACGGTTTAGTTTAAACTCAAACCATAAATAGGGCTATACTGCCCTCTTGTGTCAAATTATATTTCTATATTTGTTTTTCCAACAAATAAAACCAAACGCAATAAAACCACATTAAATACACCCTTGAGCTCAAGAGATTCAGTGGCTCAGTTAATAAAGTGTTGAGCTTTAATCAAGAAGACCTGAGTTCAAATCCCATAATTGCTTATGTTAAATTGTTCTGATTATATCAAACAAAGTATATAAAACAACATTTCTTCAACGTCACGTTGGTCCACTTTTGAAAACGTATATGTCACGGTTTAAACCCACTCAAACGTGAAACTTACACTTAAACTGAAACTTACCATCACGACCTATTGGTTTTCATTAAACCGATAAAAATGGAATTTTGTTTTATTGACGATCACTGAGAAATGGTCTATTATATAAAATGCAAAAAACATTTATTATTTTCAAGGTTAAAAGGATTCATTTGCCTCGATGCACGCCGAAAAAAACGTCTAAATGTCACATTTTTAATGAAGCAGCCTAAATAGTCCACTTTGGAAAATGTGTAGATGTCACGTTTAACCCCCTCAAACGTGAAACTTGCACGTTTGCGTAACACGCTCCAGTGGAGAGATATCCAGATGTTTATTCGCCTCTGCCATAAAGATCTATCGGTTTTCATTAAACCGAGAAAAATGGAATTTTGTTTTATTTACGATCACTGAGAAATGGTCTATTATTTACAATGCAAAAAAAACATTTATTATTTTCAAGGTGAAAAGGATTCATTTGCCTCGATCCACGCCGAAAAAAACGTCTAAATGTCACATTTTTAATGAAGCAGCCTAAATAGTCCACTTTGGAAAATGTGTAGATGTCACGGTTTAACCCCCTCAAACGTGAAACTTACACTTTTACGTTAACACGCTCCAGTGGAGAGATATCCAATTCGCCTCTGCCATAACTACCTATCGGTTTTCATTAAACCGAGAAAAATGGAATTTTGTTTCATTTACGATCACTGAGAAATGTTCTATTATTTAAAATGAAAAAAAAAAAAAAAAAAAAACATTTATTATTTTCAAGGTGAAAAGGATTCATTTGCCTGGATCCACGCCGAAGAAAACGTCTAAATGTCACATTTTTAATGAAGCAGCCTAAATCCACTTTGGAAAATGTGTAGATGTCAGGTTAAACCGAGAAAATGGAATTTTGTTTTATTTACGATCACTGAGAAATGTTCTATTATTTAAAATGAAAAAAAAAAACAACAACAAACATTTATTATTTTCAAGGTGAAAAGGATTCATTTGCTTGGATCCACGCCGAAGAAAACGTCTAAATGTCACGTTTTTAATGAAGCAGCCTAATGAGTAAAATGTCTATTTTTCTGGCGTCCCCCAGCTCCTCATTTAAGCAAAAGGTACGCTAAAACAATGTACTACATCGACGTTAAACCACGTTAACCGTGTTAACCATAACCTTTTAAATACTTGACCTAGTTCCGTTGCTTAGCAACGGAAAGAAACTCCTGTAACTTCAGTGCCCAACCCGTATCACGATAAGACGTGAAATAATCACGTTGGTCCCCTTTGGAAAACGTGTAGATGTCACGATTTAGTTTAAACTCAAACCATAAATAGGGCTATACTGCCCTCTTGTGTCAAATTATATTTCTATATTTATTTTTCCAACAAATAAAACCAAACGCAATAAAACCACATCCAATAAACCCAACTGAACAGATTCAGTGGCTCAGTTGATAAAGCGTTGGGCTTTAATAAAGAGCACTTGAGTTCAAGTCCCATACTTGCTTATGTTAAATTGTTGTGATTACATCAAACAAAGTGCATAAAACAAAAAATTTTCAACGTGAAATGATCACGTTGGTCCACTTTT